AAAATGGTACCTGGCTTATCTCACTTGTCCACTCTAGAGTGTGAGTCGTGTCAGCTCGGTAAGCATACCCGCTCCCATTTCCCGCGGCGTCTTGACAATTGAGCAGAGTCACCTTTTACTTTAGTCCATTCAGATGTTTGGGGTCCTAGTCGGGTTAGTTCTACCTTAGAATTCCGCTACTTTGTCAGTTTCATTGATGATTATTCCAGGTGCACTTGGATATTTTTGATGAAAAATCGATCTGAGTTGTTTTCTATTTTCCAGACCTTCCATGCTGAAATTCAAAATCTATTTGGGGTTTCTATCCGCACATTTCGTAATGATAATGCCCTAGAGTATTTGTCTTCCCTATTTCAGCAGTTTATGAACTCCCATGGGATTATTCATCAAGCATCTTGTCCGTACACATCCCAACAAAATGGGATAACTAAAAGAAAGAATAGACAATCTTATTGAAACTGCTCGTACCCTACTCATACAATCTCATGTTCCACTGCGTTTTTGGGGGATGCAGTTCTTACATCTTGTTATCTTATTAATCGTATGCCATCTTCAGCNGTTAAATCTGCTGTTTTATTTCTTGATGACCTTGTTTTCATACAGGAACGCAGTACAGGACGGATCATTGGTACCAAACGTGAATCAGATGGACTTTATTACCTTATCCTTGCAAAATCACATGGACTCGCATCTTGTCTTCCTCCAATAACTTCTCCCGTTACTGATTCACCAAATTTATTACATAAACGGTTAGGACATCCCAGTTTGTCAAAACTTCAGAAAATGGTACCTGGCTTATCTCACTTGTCCACTCTAGAGTGTGAGTCGTGTCAGCTCGGTAAGCATACCCGCTCCCATTTCCCGCGGCGTCTTGACAATTGAGCAGAGTCACCTTTTACTTTAGTCCATTCAGATGTTTGGGGTCCTAGTCGGGTTAGTTCTACCTTAGAATTCCGCTACTTTGTCAGTTTCATTGATGATTATTCCAGGTGCACTTGGATATTTTTGATGAAAAATCGATCTGAGTTGTTTTCTATTTTCCAGACCTTCCATGCTGAAATTCAAAATCTATTTGGGGTTTCTATCCGCACATTTCGTAATGATAATGCCCTAGAGTATTTGTCTTCCCTATTTCAGCAGTTTATGAACTCCCATGGGATTATTCATCAAGCATCTTGTCCGTACACATCCCAACAAAATGGGATAACTAAAAGAAAGAATAGACAATCTTATTGAAACTGCTCGTACCCTACTCATACAATCTCATGTTCCACTGCGTTTTTGGGGGATGCAGTTCTTACATCTTGTTATCTTATTAATCGTATGCCATCTTCAGCTATCCAAAATCAAGTTCCATTCTCTGTCCTGTTTCCTACTTACCTTTGTTCTCTCTTCCACCTCGTGTCTTTGGGAGTACGTGCTTTGTTCATGACCTTACTCCAAGAAAAGATAAGTTAGCTTCTTGTGCTCTTAAGTGCATATTTCTGGGTTACTCGAGAACGTAAAAGGGATATCGATGTTATTCTCCTGACCTTCAGCGATTTCTTATGTCTGCTGATGTTACCTTTTCTTGAAACCCAATCATACTTCACAGGTCCGGTTAATCACTTAGATATTTCTGAGGTGCTACCTGTTCCTTCTTTTGGAGATTCAGACCCTATCTCCTATTCATCTTCCTCCATAGCTCCACCGCCTACAGTTCCAGTTACAGCTCCACCACCTATAGCTCCAGTGTCACCACCGAGTCCAGTGCCACCACCTAGTCCAGTTCCACCAACTATAGCTCCAGTGCCACCACCTAGTCTAGTTCAACCTTCTACAGCTCCACCACTCCTGACTTACCATCGTCGTCCGCCCCTAGCATCAGGCCCAGCTGGTTCACGTCCTGCACCTGACCCTGCTAATACTGCGGACTTATCTCCTCTTAATCAACTGATTGCACTACGAAAAGGTATACAGTCCACACTTAATCATAATCCTCATTATATCGGTTTAAGTTACCATTGTCTCTCATCATCACATTGTACATTTGTGTCATCTTTGTCCTCTGTTTCCATCCTAAGTCTACAGGTGAAGCATTGTCTCATCCCGGATGACGACAGGCTATGATTGACGAGATGTATGCTTTACATACGAGTAGTACTTGGAAGCTTGTTCCTCTTCCTTCAGGTAAATTGACTGTTGGTTGTCGTTGGGTGTATGCAGTCAAAGTTGGTCCAGATGGCCAGGTTGATAGACTTAAGGCTCGTCTTGTTGCCAAAGGATATACTCAGATATTTGGACTCGATTACAGTGATATTTTCTCTCCCGTGGCTAAAATTGCATCAGTCCGCCTTTTTCTATCCATGGCTGTTGTTCGGCCTCTCTATCAGTTGGATATTAAGAATGTTTTTCTACACGGTGACCTTGCGGATGAGGTTTATATGGAGCAACCACCTGGTTTTGTTGCTCAGGGGGAGTCTAGTGGCCTTGTATGTCGGTTAAGCCGGTCCCTCTATGGTCTAAAGCAGTCTCCTCGAGCCTGGTTTGGTAAGTTCAGCACAGTTATTCAGGAGTTTGGCATGACTTGTAGTGAAGCTGATCACTCTGTATTTTATCGACATTCTGCTTCAAATCTCTGTATTTTTTTGGTCGTTTATGTTGACGATATTGTTATTATCGGCAATGATCAGGATGGTATTAGTAAGTTGAAGCAACATCTCTTTCAGCACTTTCAGACTAAGGATCTGGGTAGATTAAAGCATTTTCTGGGTATTGAGGTCGTTCAATCTAGCTCAGGTATTGTGATCTCACAACGGAAGTATGCCTTAGATATTTTTGAGGAGACAGGAATGACAGGTTGTAGACCTTTTGACGCTCCGATGGATCCGAATTCTAAACTTCTGCCAGGACAGGGGGAGCCTCTTAGCAATCCTGCAAGATATAGGCGGTTGGTTGGTAAATTAAATTACCTCACAGTGACTAAACCTGACATTTCCTTTCCTGTGAGTGTTGTGAGTCAGTTTATGGATTCTCCCTGTGATAGTCATTGGGATGCAACCGCATTCTTCGATATATAAAATCAGCTCCTGGCAAAGGCTTATTGTTTGAAGATCGAGGCCATAAGCAGATCGTTGGATACCAAGATGCTGATTGGGCAGGATCACCTTCTGATAGACGTTCTACGTCTGGATATTGTGTCTTAGTAGGAGGAAATTTGGTGTCTTGGAAGAGCAAGAAACAGAATGTGGTTGCTCGGTCTAGTGCAGAAGCAGAATATCGAGCAATGGCTATGACCACATGTGAGCTAATTTGGATCAAACAGTTGCTCAAGGAGTTGAAATTTGGTGAGATTAGTCAGATGAGACTTGTGTGTGATAATCAAGCTGCTCTTCATATTACGTCAAATCCAGTGTTCCATGAGAGAACTAAACACATCGAGATTGACTGTCACTTTGTTAGAGAAAAGATACTCTCGGGAGATATTGCTACAAAATTTGTGAAGTCGAACGATCAGCTTCACCAAGTCTCTCACTGGTCCTCGTATTAGTTATATATGTAACAAGCTCGGTACATATGATTTATATGCACCAGCTTGAGGGGAATGTTAGTTTCATTGTATAAATAGTAGTAAATAATCCTAATATCATATGTATTAGGAGTAAGACATGTATTATATATATAGGGCTCATTGTATCATTGTCATTATCAATCAATAAGATTTTTCTCCGGTGCAGTATTCACTGAGTTGATGATCTCACAACATTTTAGAATGTTCAGATAATTTCTATATGTAATAGAAAGAAAAGAAGAAGAAAATAATTTCTCTGTGATATTTTGTGGTTGACTAAGCTTTAACATTGTTATAGTAAAATGCTACATTAATTTTCCTTTTCTTTTTCTTTTTAGACAGTACTAGAGTATCGTCGGTGTACAATATATGCGATACTTCTAACAAATTTCAGTTCATGTCTTCAATATTTTGAAGCTTTCACCCATGCTATGCTGCCTTTAATTTTAAATGAAGCAGCATTCATTACACATATCCTGATTTACAGGAGATACTTTGGAGTTGCTTTCGATATAGAAACAAATCTTCTTTTCCAGGGGATTTGGTCGTAGTGTAATATGATTTGTCTTAGACAAGTGGTCATGTAACATAGCTTATATTTAGTGGAAGATGTATTCTCTTAAATTAGGAAATGTAATTGTGATCCTCTGTTTTTTGTCTCTCATACAGGGTAAATTTTCTTAAAGAGATGGATTTGTTAATCTGGAGTTCACCTTACTGTCAAGGTTTGTATAATTATTATATTTTGATGAGTGGACTGCCTACGTATTTTAACCTTACTAGTTTTCAGGTTTGTTTGGTAGAAGCAGCGTTGAAGTGGACATACTGTTCCTTTTGGTTTAAGCACTAATTTATTTTTTTCTTCAGATGAAAACAGTTATCGAACAAACAGCTTGGCCTTCAACTTCTATTTCAATCAAAAGCTCGGTAAGTTCATATTAATTAACTCTCGTATTTGTATATTTTCTTGACAAGTCTATCAGATCTTTTATTTTAATAAACCTGGTTTCCTTTCGATCAATGTACATCTAACTGACTTCATTTTTTTCTATCGATTTGCGTCGACAGACATTATAGAGGAAAATGCCTTAAACGAGAAATGTTGTCTGCAAGTGCTGGAGATGCTCATTGCAAAAGCTGATGCAGAAATTGCTGAACTTAAAGATGATATAGTGATGCTACAGAGCCAACTAGCCTGCACTGATGAAAAATGGTCCGACATATGCTTTGCTGCTTTAAATAAAAAGATTGATCATCTCGATAGTTTGATAACGACCTTGAAACATAAAAATGTCCAAGTTTCTGGTGTCCACTTACTAACAAATAGAAAGCCCCCAGAGAGAATTCATGAGATATTAGAGAGACTGCTGAGAAATTTCTTTTCTCCACGAGACGAGCAGGTTTGGTCTCAGAACATTTACTTGTTCTTATCTAATATTGGATTCGATGGCTGTTTTTATTGTTTTCCATGCAAGATTGCTTAATTGCTGTTGTTCTTAAGATAGGTATTAGTAACTTACTGGATGCACATGAGCATTGCTGTTTCACATGAAACTTTTGGAATTTAATCTGATTCTTAAAATTGAAAAACTAAAGAAGGAAAACAATGGCTGTTAAATGAAGACAATTGTTGAATTTATATCTACTATTAATCATTGAACTTACAGTTAAGGGGTCGTTTGGTTCAGTTTTGGATATCCCCTGGGATTATCTATCCCACCTCCTATATGGGATAGCTAATACCACCATTCTGGTATAAAATTTATATTGGTATTAGGCTATTAGCTAATACCAAAACCAAACATGGGATAACTATAATCGCAGATTTTATACCGGGATTGATATCCTTATCCCGGTAACCAGACGACCCCTAAGTAGTTGGTTGAGACTATACTCTTGAATTTCCACATGACTTCTGTTTTGAAATCAACAGCCTGCAAACTCTAGCCTTGGAAGTTCAAAGCTAGCTGCAGCAGGTCTTATAAAAGTTGAAGCAACGGACTACCACGATTTAAAGGATAATGAGACTGCAGAAATAAACGTGGGTGTCGCTGTCCAGGCCATTGTTACAGTCCAGACACCATCTGCGGTTCAAGAAAGAAATCATCAAGAAGCAGTAAGTGCTTATTATCTCTCTTTGTTCCACTAAAAGAATAGCAAAATGCAAGAAAATTTGAACCAAGGAAATAGTGTAACTTTACAGGTTCTCCCAGTCTGGAATTGAGGGTGCCATAAGTGTGCAGGATTGCAGCCATTTAGGATATACTGCATAAGTTTATCAGATAAATACCCCTATGGTTACTTCTCATATTTTTGTGAGTCTATTACTAATATTTGAAGACCGCTCACTGGTACCTCTAAGGGCTTTATATTCTCATGGAAGTAGTATTTGTAATGAATGCGTTTCAGCTCCCCCGTTGCATCAATTTCCCATCTTAACTCGTCCAGTTCACTGGATTTTTATCTTTTCTCAAACAATGAACAGGATGCGCATACAATCTCCAAACCTTCCAATACAAAGGCTTTTGGCCATGCTAGTGACGATTCCACTATGAAGGATTTGAACAAGTGTGATATTCCCAGAAAGCCAATCAATGCAAGCAATAGAGAATATCCTTCACATCTCAACAATGTACTTATAAATCTTCTGAGCAAATTTGTTCATATAAGGTTACATACCGATCTAGATCATTCAAATAACCAGTTATGTTATCTACTCTCTTGCAGAAGCAGTTTGCATGTGCTGTTTTAAAGAGTGTAAGCACGAAGTCTCTAAAAGACAAAGCTCATTCTTGTGGAACAACAAAGAGGAAGATCAACATATCAGAAGATATCTTTGAAGATAAATTGATGCAACAAAGTTCTAATGATGAAAGGGTAATCATAAATTCATCTCCACAAGTCGAGGAAACAAGCAATGGAAAAGGACCTAAGGTTGGGAAATATCTTCCATTTGCTTTAGTGTGCTGTAACAGTATTCAAACAGGCTAGAAGTCTTATTTTTCAAAGATGTACCGCTTGAATGTAGACTCTTATATCAGCATTTAGCCTATATTAAAAAGAGGAAAAGCCAGGGGCAATCTATAGCTTAGAGAGTGAGCTACGGGCACAGTCTGTGGCTTCGGTACTTGTAGAGTCATTCGAGTCTGTATATCTATTCATTCAACCATGAGAGCTTCATGTGTCAACCTAACGTGTTCTAAATCACAATACAACAACTAAAGATCTTCAAAGCAAGTTTTACAATTTAGGGGTTTCAAATCTCAGTTTAAGCGTGTCATTCTTGGCCTTCTCATTGTAATTATAGAAAAGAAATTATGACCTCTCGAAATTTTTATCGAGTGCTTATTTAAGATTTTTCCATCTAAAAGGGGGTTAATGTTGTTTTGACAGCCTGCTGGATCAATTCTGAAGACCAGTCTAATTGCTGTAAAACAAGAACCCAAAGAATACAGAGATGAACAGACACAGAATGGAGGGAAGGCTGGTCAGACAAGAGAAAAACACACCTCAAGTCAATTGGTAATGGAAAAAAAGACGGGTGCAAAATCTTTTCTTGGATTAAAGGTAGAAGAAAGAAGCCAGTCACTGGGAAAAGTCAAAGGTAAAGTGCAAGAGAAGCGACCCCCGCAAAGGCAAGTACTTACCATACATAAATCTGACTCAAAGTTGTTCCTGAAACTAGAAGGTCAGAGGCTGAACGTCAAATGGAACTTACCTCAAGAAAAGACTAAAGAGCTATGTCTTGCCGAGGAATTAGGATTCAAGACACTTTCTGGTGTAAAACTCAAGAGGCAGTGGAAAATTGGAAGTACTCAGAAGAAGAGAGGTGATGAGTCTGGAGACGAAACAATCAAGGAAAATATGTTACTACTCGGTGGAGCCAAAGGAACTGGTGATCTTCCAGAGATCAGTTCAACTTCTTTGACTCAATTGAAGAAGAGAAGGATAACGAGTTCTAGAGGACCAGTCCTCCAAGAGAATGAGAATTTGAGAGACTTTCAGAATAGGTTGGTAAAATCACATGACAGATCAAATCCAAGTCTTCAAGTCATTAAAGTTGAGAATGTCAAACCTCTTGCTTCCACAGCATTCATTGTTCCAACACCACACGTAGCAGATCTAAAATTTATGACACTCAATCAACTCAAGGCCGTGGCAAGGCAATTGAATCTGGGCGGGGTATATACTCTTTGCAAAGCTGAGCTGCAAGAAGTCCTTCACTTTACGCTTCTAGGTAAAGGCCGGTCAAAATAGAAGCGATCTCTATATCCTCTTTTTGTTTGGATATTCTCAAATGAAACATAACAGAATCGTTTACAAGTTCTTTTGAGAAGAAAAGGAGCTCTCTATGAGAAAAAGGGGATACTAGCAAATGATGTTCATATAACCAACTGTACAGAGAAACGAAGTTTTGCTTATATAAAGAACAGATACATGAGAAAGAATATAGAAAAAGTTGATTCTAGGAATCATTATAGCCAAGTTCTTCCCGGAAGGCTTTACTATTTTTGTTGATAATTACCCTTCTTTTGGTACTGAAATGATCATTACCCTGGTAATCAAGAACCTTCCTTTGTAGAGCTGAGTTTCATTTGTTGCTTAGTTTGCTAATTGAGCCTGGCATGTTGCAGCTGCTTTTCTCTATAAATACAGTCGGACCTCTTTATAACAACATCATTATATAACAGTCATTTACTATAAAAGTTAAGTTTTTTATGGAACCAATTTTCATATTATGTAGTATATGTTCTCTATAACAATACTTTGCTATAACCGGTAAAAAAATTCGTAACGAATGAGGCTGTTATAAAGAGGTTTGACCGTATAGTGTTAATATGTAGGTTCTGATATTGTTAAAACTTGGGCTGGTGTTGCTTTTCATTTTATTGAACTTGGCCACTATATATAGTTCTGCAGAAACATTGTTGTAGTAATCAAACATTTGAATTCTAGTTCTTCTATTCTGATATGCTGTATATTATTGTTAGGCGCAGACATGTGACATCAGATAACTGTTAGGGGTCGTTTGGTACGAGGTATAAGAAGGTATAAGGGTGGTATAAAAATTTAATACCACCTTAATACTCTGTTTGGTTAGCAAACCAGGTATAAATTATTCCGGTGTTAATTTTAACATTGGGATAACTTATACCTTATAGAAGGTGGGGTAATTAGCACCGGTATAACTTATACCTTCTTCTTAGAAATTATGTCATTGTCATTCTTAATACAACATACCAAACAATGAATAAACAACAATCTCAGCATAACGACCCCTTATAGTTCTCCTTTATGAAAATGTTCAAAAAATAATGAGAAGAATTCAACTTTTTATACAAAATTTCCTGTGTTATTTAAATTACACATTCTATATCCTGTCAGTGTTGAATAACTTCTATATTTCTTGTTTAACTATAATTCACGGATTAGGTTCACCTAACATAGTATAATTTCGATAAGCCATTTGAATTTACTAAATGTTAGTAATAGAAATGAGCATAATTAAGTTAAGACCTGAGTCTTAATATCCACGGATGGTAAGAGATAGACAACTAAAAAGCTTCTCTTTTTTGGGTTTTAATTGAATATTGTAACCGAGAAATTCTCGATGCAAACTAAGTCAATACTAAGCCTGCATCTCTATCCTTCGCTTAAATACTAGGTTTTTGTCGCAACAGAGTTCGAACTCGTGATGTGCGTCTAATGCATCTCTATCCTTCGCTTAAATACTAGGTTTTTGTCGCAATAGAGTTCGAACTCGTGATGTGCGTCTAATGCATCTCTATCCTTCGCTTAAATACTAGGTTTTTGTCGCAATAGAGTTCGAACTCGTGATGTGCGTCTAATCCACACATCATGCACTGTGTTCTTACCACTAGTCCAAAGTCCTAAGAGCATTTGGTTGAACGTTTATGCCAAAAACTTGAGCAGATTTTGCAGAAGTTTTCGAGTTTTCGTACATAAACGACATCTAAACAGTTTGATGTGCCACTGGAAAAAATTTGATATAGCATGAATTAAAAACAGCAGTTACAATAGAAGTTCAGACGTCCTCAAATGTTCGTATATGCATAAAAACATATTCCACAATTTTCACACTTAATTCTACCTTTTTCCTTCAAGCTCATGTACTAAAGAATCAACAGTTTAAAATAAATCCTTTGCTAGCATGCAAGACATGCAACTAACTTATGGAAGTAAAATAGCTAACATCCTGGAACATGTTTGGGACCAAGATCAAACTGTAGCTTTAGGAAGAACAACCTGCGATAAGGGAAAAAATCACGACACATTAGCACGATGAGGAGTATAAGCTAGTTCAGCTTAAGATATTTTCAAGCAAACGAGAACCTATTGATAGTATCATTGACGTGGGATGCCTTGTGCACCGGACTGCCCTTTATACGCGTGCAACTATCTTGACAGTAGCAAAGACAGGGCAACTTGCACAAAGTCTATTTTCCAACTCTTCGTGGCTCTTTACGAATGTGGTGTCTGAGCTAACTTGCGCACATTTTGACTATTTCACATGGTACTGATACAAATGTGGGTAACTCTGCCACCTTACAATTCTTCTGTCTCTATTGGAATTGGAACCCTAGTCCCTCATAGTTCTCATATCACTTTATCGACCACTAACCCACACCTTTGGAGCTTGGGTGGTCTAGTCTCCAACTTACTATCCAAAAAATTGCTTATTTTACAATTTGATTTGTGATTAACAAAAATGAAATTTAGCCCTGGTCCTGAGTCACATTAATAATAATTACAAGTGTGCATTTTTTTCATTACAGAGGGAGCATATACATGCAGTTGCTCAGTTTTTGACTTACTGCTAGCGGCAAAGGCAAAAGAATGTTGAAATATGTGACCGTCTCATCTAAAAACTTAAACTCTTAAAGAGAGAACATTTTATTTTACTTAATTAAGTTTTCAACATATCTCCGCACGCGGAGCCTAATTCTTTTTCATAGGTCAAGCACGTGGATATTCTTTTTCTTTTTTTTTATAATGGATGGCGGTGAGACTTGAACTCAGGACCTATGTGTGTTCTAATATAAATGTCGGGGTTATGTGATCATCTCATCTAAAAGCTTAAGTTCTTAAAGAGAGTTCATTTTTATTTACTTTAATTACATTTCAACAAAGATTATGTAATAACTTGTGGATATCACGTGTATATAACCTCCGGAAGCAACAACAACAATACCCAGTGATTTCCCTGGGGTCTGGGTAAGCACTATAGCAGTAAAAAGTTTTATACCTCACTTCGACGCCAACTTGCTAAGAGCCTCCTCTAGGTTTCGAACTAGATGTTTGATTTGATATTTGAGCTTTGCATTCTCTGAAGTTCGTTCTTCCTCCTGTTTATGTGCCTGAAATAAATTTAAGAAAAAAAATCAATCTTTAATTTGCACCAACACTGTTTTCGAAAAGGATGCAGAATTGAAATCCAAATCTCCACCTTTTCTTTTTCTGCTTTGAGCTCAGCTGTAACATCTTTCAGTTTTGACTGGAGTTCAGCAACTGTTCTCTCTAATTCCTCAATTCTAGAATCTGAAGAACCACCAAAATGCACATAAACATGAAAAAGCACCAGAGTCCTCCTTAGGTTTACACAGATGGGAAAACTTATGAATTAGAATCATTAATAAGTGGAGATAGAATTGAAGGCTTCACCAACCTGTCTTACTAGCAATTGAAATTTCAAGTCTTGCCAATCGTTCCTTCATTCAATGAAAATGTCTTTTAGCATATAATGATCGTAAAATGAGACAAAATTGCACACACAACAACAACAAAAAAAAACTAAGTGTAATTCTGGAGAAAACACACATGTACATAAATATGTAATGTAATTAATCTATTAGGTGTTTTCTGTTAGAAGCAGCCGTTAAGAATGTAAACACCTAATTTAGGATAGAATCTCAATGGATACCTATAGACTCGAGCCATATGTTCGTAAACTGTTGGAGGAGCATAATTAGAAAGTGTCCTAAATTCTTCTAGAAAAATCATTGGGATAACTGTGTTAGCTATTAGCTTAGGCAGTTCCTACTTCCTAGTGCATACCATGGAACAGTCAGTATAACTGTATAAGCCTTCAGGCAGTAACTTCAAATCCAATCTTCATTGGAAGAAGAACATAATCTATGACACTGACTTTAAGATGCACAAATGCCAAACGATGGATACAACTACACTATTTGAGCAAAAGCTATTAATTTAATAGATTTACTGATACAAATACAATGTTTGAGTAAAAGCTACGGGGTTCGCCCCAACCTATAGCCGGGCTACTAACTCCGCCCCTGGTCGGCTATATAAATACTCACTCTCCAGTTAAGCTCAACTCATGTTATTATCATACCAATAACGTGTGTCACGTCACAACGATAGCCAATGGCGCGAAGCTACTGTGCGCTGGATTATGACTAAACGCCTCTAAGTTACATGTATTATGAGGATTCATCATGAATTGACAAATTTGCAAACCAACTGCAACCTTTGTCCTTTCCGAGCTGGGGAGTGGCAATACGAGCAAGCTCACTCGGGCAAAGTTTTTGCAGAAAACTATTTTTTCCAATGGACCAAATAAGGGGGAAAAGGGCATTAATACTAAAGTATAACAGCATAAGTTGAACTCCAGATAACAATGAATACAACTAAAGCAAAGATTTATATAAGCTCAAAATATAACAAAAGAAAGGCAGCCCGGTGCACTAAGTTCCCGCTATGCGCGGGGTCCGAGAAAGAGCCGGACCACAAGGGTCTATTATACGCAACCTTAACCTGCATTTCTGCAAGAGGGTGTTTTCACGGCTTGAATCCTTGCCGTACCGGTCACATGGCAACAACTTTATAAGTTACGCCAAGGCTCCCTTCTCATAATATAACAAAATTGAAAGAAAATTCAAAACCCAAAAATCATTAAATCTATCAAAAGGAAAGCATAGAACTTTCACATTTATATCCATTAAAACATTAGATCCTATAGAAGGGAAAAAGCACAAAACTTGAACAAAAACAACACTGAACAAGAAATACAAATTATATTAAAAAATTGATGTAAGAATGAGTTGAGATTAAAACCTCAGCCTCTGAAGCTCTGTGGTAAAAGGGTTTTAAGGTTTCTTCTAGATTATTTGAATCCGCCATTTTCTGTTAAAAAATCAAAGCGCCGTAGCTGAGGGAGACTTTGCAAATCAGCTTTCTAAGAAACGTATTAGCCAATAGAATGTTGCCTTTTTAGTAAGAGGAATATTGTTCCAAATTTTTTTTTTGGCTTTTATACTTGATGTATGTTATACACCTATAATAGCATTTGACATTTAAATATATTTTGATTGTTATAGACAAAAATTATCCAAAAACTAATTTTTTTATTTTATAATATTATATATAAAAGATTAATAAAATATTTAAGTTCAAAATCTCAACAGATATAAATATTTCATGAATTAATTGCTAAAGAAATCTAATACATTATTAAAAAATTCTTAACTAAACGCACAAATATTTAACTCTAAGGCACACAATTAAAAAATATGAATAGATTGTGTTTACATATTACATCTTCAATATAAGATATATTATGTGTACATCTTTAAATAAAAAAAGAATGATATGCATATTTTCAAAAAATATAAATAGACCTTTTAAGTATCTTTTGACATTTTTCTAATGCAAGATATATTGTTGCGACCAAAAACACTCACGCAAGTGCACGTGATCGTCAAGTAATAGAGTAGTGAGTAGAGTATCGTTCCCATGAAGACTTATGATTAACTGTTGACTGATTCAAACCTAATTTCTGTATCTACCCAAGAGGTTGTTCACAAAAGAGAGATGTAATTGTTTTACTACTTAAACTATAAATAATTAATCTAACTAAAGCAAGTAACCAAACGAATAGCAATTTCGAGTAACAAACAGTAGGAGATGATATTCCAGGGTCACGGGCATAGTTAACAATCGTGTTGTGTTCTTGGCTTAGAATGACTAATCAATTTATCTGGGTTATTCATTGACAGGGTTGATATTACTCATAAGAATCTGTCGAGTTCTTACTCACCTATTCAAGTCAACTCAATGCCTATATGTCTATGGAATTAAGATTAACAAGAACACATTTACAATTCCTGTATTTCAGCCAAGCGAAGCAATTAGGTATGTGTCTATCCCAATTGCGAATCCATTCCCCGAGACCCGGGTTTAAGAGCTTGCTCTATTTAATTCTATATGCAATCTAAAGTTTCCACTTTCGAGTTCAACTATAGATTCGTAGATAGTATTTCACTGTTAGCTACTCAACAAAATAATTCAACGCAGAATTAAATAAACAACCCAATATGATAAACCCACTTTGTCAAATTAAACTCCAAACAACAACATTCATGTTTTACCCATGACCCCAGAACAATGGGTCTTAGCCACTCATACTGGTGTTCATCCCAAATAAGTTCAATTTCATCACAAAATAGCAAAAACAAGAGAAGAAAAGAAGAACTTGATGGTCAAAACTCCT